GGCAAGAGAAGGAGACGCGGGGGGAGAGAATGGTAGAGTGAGAAGGTGAGAGAGAGGTAATTAAGAATTAGATTCTAAGTACATCTATTTTAGTAAGAGTTTTTCGACATTTGAATCCCGAATAGGTCATAATTTGTGTTAAAGATTAGAGGTGTCATACAAATAAAAGAAAGAGGGGAGATAAGACAATACATGTTGGATTGGAAAGAAGGAGCAAACCACAAAAGAACACCCGCCATCTATCAGTGACCCTTACTTTACTTAAACACCCCCCCCCCTCCCCCCAAAAAAACCCCAACCAAAAAACAAAAACAAAACAAACAGACAAACAGCAAACAACAAAACAAAAAAACAACAACCCCAAAACAAACAAGTAAGCAAGCAAGCAAACAAACAAACAAACGAAACAAACAAAAATAGGCAAGCAAAAAGCAGACAAAAAAACTAATAAGCAAACAACAAACCTACAAACAACGCCACCAACCAACCAACCAACCAACCAACCAACCAATGAAACCAACCAAACAAACAAACGAATCAACCATCGGGGCACAGACCGGAAGATGGGCTGGAAAGCGGAGACCAGCGAGTCCTGCAGCAAACTGACCACACAGTTGGGTAACCAGGTCTGTTGCTGACCACTGGGCTCTGGACTGTCTAGGTACTCATCCCAACCGTCGGAGCTGAGGCTGGGTGCTATTCAGTGAGGGGGTGGGTGGAAGGGGGGGGGTAAGGATTAGATTATTAAGGGTGCGAGTGTTGGGGGTGAGGGGTGAGGGTTGGATTTAGGTTACGAGTGTACGGGGAGAAGGGTGGATGAAGGAGGTGGTGGAGGGCGGGGATGGAGGGGTGAAAGGGTGGTGGAGGGAAGGCATGTGGGGCTAGAAGTAGGGGGTTGAAAGCGGGGGTGGAGGGGATGAAGTGGAGGATTTGAGGACGGGGGTGGAGGGTGTAAGAGGAAAAAGGGAAGGTGTGTTTCTCTTAAATAAGAGTTTTATGGCACTATCAACACTACCAGTTAATATATAAGAGCCGAAGATTAGAGGTGTTACCACATAGTGACGTACAAAGAAAATGAGGAGAAATAAGAACGGCAGCGGCAACAATAATAACACCACTATCAATACTACCACTACTGTTAGCAATACTGACAACAACAACAACAGCAACAACAACAACAACAACAACAACAACAACAACAACAACAACAACAACAACAGCAATAACAACAAAAACAACCACGACAACAGCCAGATTTCTCCCCAGACAAAGCGACTTCTGCAGGTAGAAAAGACCTACACTTACACAGACACGGGAACTGGATGACGATTTTCTTCCCAAACAATCGGAACTGCACGGCTTTGATCGTCTGCATCTTATCTTGTCAGATCTCGTGGACAGGCGGAAAGCTCACAGATGGACAGACGTGTCAGACAGACAGACTTCTGGGATAGACCTGTATGTCTGATAGGTGATAGACCAATCTATCAGACAAACCGTCGGGATAGATCTCTATATCTGATGGGTTTCTTTATCTGATAGACAAATCTATAAGATAGACAAAGTATTGGGATCTCCTGATCCGATAAACATCACAGGCTGATAAAGTGACGAAGTATCAACTAGAACTTTGCAAACGATAGATCAATGCATGAGATAAACTGTTGGGCAAGGTCTCTATCTAATAGTAATAGAAATGATAGGTGTAGACCAATCTATCAAACTGGCAGACGGTTGGGCTAAATCTCTATATCTGATAGACCCTGAGGGGGCTGAAGTGATACGGTATACCTGACAGACCTGACAGACGTTGGACCAATCTATGACGCAGACAAAGAAAGTCCCAGAACGATCTAGCAACACCTAGATGTCAGGTTTTTCAACACAGAAATGATAAAATATTAGACTAGCTCCTCTATTGAAGGGGTAAGAACTAAGAAATAAGTTGGTCACTGGTGTTACAGGAATGGGGAAATATTAAAGGCTAGGCTAGTTCATCCATTGATGGGTTAAGAAATAATATGTAAGTAGGCCACTGCTGAATCGTCTCTTAGACTTAGATTTTGAGACACAAGATAGATGAGCGAAGTAAAAGAGCATCAGCGCTTTGAGCTGTACAATTAGAAATAAATTAACAGCCTAATTAAGTGAATCAATTGACTGATGATAATTGCAAGATCATGAAATGGTTGAATAAAAGCCTACGTCTTAGATTAGCAGTCTTAGAATAAAAATCCAGAGATAAGATCAAATGTTGGCTGACAGACGGTTTGAGGTCAACAAGTCTTCGTCGACAGTGTGTGGATATAGCTCGACGACCAAAGCCCAGAAGCAATGTACTGGTTGATGTTCTATGCCAGACAACTAGAAGTGAGCCGAAGAATGAGGAGGTGTCTTCGTTGATGTAAGATGGGAGTCTCTGGGAATCTCTTTCGACACAAACACAAACTGGCCAATGAGGCTCTGGAGATCTATTGTTTGCACCTTCAAATCAAACCTTGCTTGACGAGGATGAGAAATCGCATCCGTTTAGAGAAAGTGCTATTGAATGCAGGAGCGTGCGGTGTGCGGTGTATGATGTGACGTACGTAGCCGAGTGGGACGTGTTTCTCTCTCACCTTCGGTTCTATTTTTGTGTTCTCGGAAAGTGTTGCTCTTTGGGACGTAAAGGGGGGGGGGGTGTCCGCTATATATACTGGTCTCATGAGCCAGCTGGAGTGTGTGTCTGTAATGGGGGTGGGGGTCAAACCTATCTACCTAACACCCAGCTTATCCTCTGGTATGTGACGTCATTCAGCTCCCTACAACAATCCCACGTCGCCCTGCTGAGCATGTCTCGTTTAGGGCATACACTTGTTGTATTCCTACATCACGCACTGTCATGGCCGCCGATCTGCTCTAACTATAAAAACCTTGCTGCAAAACGTGCCCACCATGGGCTTCTTTGTTACTCTCAAACGAAGAGCAAAACACCAATCTTGCTATAGCCGAGTATGGGCAGCACCCGCCCCCCTTGACATTGACGATTTAGTTGTTTGAGGCTCTAAGTAGAGCCTGTTCAACTGTCTGGTAATGAACGACAATAATGCATTGCGTGCAGGCTAGACAAATCCGTTTTGGCAGGTGGCGTTGTAAATAGTTGGGAGATCTTTCCAGTATTCGTCCTGACGTCTCTTAAATGTGTCCACGTTTGGAGCTGGCACCACCGATTCGGGAAGATTGTTCCAAATAGTATTAACCCTATTCTCAAGAAAGTTTGCCCCCACACACAATCTGTTTCTTTGCTTCTGGAGTTTCTCTTAGTTGCCACGGAGTTGTGTGGTTGTTGCCTTTGTAAACGCTGGTCTTTCAGTAATGTAGTAGCCTTTGATATACTTGTACGTTTGTATCATATCACCACGTAACCTACGATGTTCCAGGGATGGAAGCTTTAGTTTTTTCAGTCTTTCAGAATAAGGCTTTTCTTTGAGGTGACTCAGCATTTTGGTAGCCCGCCTTTGAACTTGTTCGATTTCACTACATAGTCCTTTTTAAAGGGTTGCCAAACACAGGGTGCATACTCCAATAAAGGCCTCACCAAACTCTTGTACAGCAAAACAAACATATCCTCTGAAAGGTAGTCAAATGATCGCCTAATAAATCCAACAATACGGTTCGCTTTTGATGTCATCTGGGCCACGTGCTCCTTGAAGGTTAGTTTATTATCGACAACAACTCCTAAGTCTTTTTCTCTCTTTGTTACATTCAGTTTGTGTCTTGAGGTGCTACCATCCACTGCTTGGTCCATAAAGCATTGGCTGTAAGTGAATCAATGAGGTAGTCTTAGAATAAAAAGATCGCCTGTCCACGAGATCTGATAAGAAAAGATGCAGACGACCAAAGCCGTGCGGTTCCGATTGTTCGGGAAGAAAATCGTCATCCAGTTCCCGCGTCTGTGTAAAGGTGGGTCTTTTCTACCTGCAGAAGTCGCTTTGTCTGGGGAGAAATCTAGCTGTTGTCGTGGTTGTTATTGTTGTTATACCACCCCCTCCCTCTCGGGAGTCCCACACTGACACAACAACCCCAGAACATAGATCGGCCCTTCATTTTGCTCAAATAGAGTCAAATATTGCCCTCCATAGTGAACCAGAAATGTGTCACAGTGCCTGATCTAGGATATTGTAATAATACAAGTCCATGGGTGAGAGTCGCTCGTGTCTTGCGCCGTTCGGTCAAATAAAAACTTTTAATGGTGAAAAAACCCTAATAATAATAATAATAATAATAATAATAATAATAATAATAATAATAATAATGATAATAATAATATAACATTTATATAGCGCATTTCCAAAAAAAGTAGCTCAATGCGCTTTACATTGGAATACCCATTTTTCAAAAACCTTTCTTACTACTTCCTTTCTTCTCAAGCAATATACATTAATGCACACACACACACACACACACACACACACATATATTTACACACACACACACACACACACACACACACACACACACACACACACACACACACATACACACACACACACACACACACAGAGACTATTTTCATCCAGACAAGCCTGTAGCGTTGCAGGAACAAAGGACACAATGACATACTCAGACAGACACAAAGCCGAGCGTCACTTACCGTGATCAAAACATGTGATAGAGAATCTGTTGTGTGACCCCATGTTGTCCTCCCCGATGTGACCGTCTGTGACCCCCACCCTCTTCCCCCTTCCGGTGACGATAGGTGCACCCCCCCCCCCCCCCCCAAACCCACCCTCAACCAAGTCAGTACATCAGCTAAAAGACTCCCTCATGATGCCCAATAGCGTTGAGCGAAAAGTTTGCACACCACAAAGATTTCGTCTGTCTGGCGTGCAGTTTTTCAAAGGCTAGATATCTATATTTTTCATTGTTATGGCGAAATGATGTGCAATGGCGAGCTACTAATTATGAAAAGAAAAAAACTCTCATGGCCTCCAGAAGACGCGTTGAAAAGACAGTCTCAAAGCTTCCCTAAAGACCTTCAGCATCGACAACACAACATGACATGAACAGACTCCACAATACAGAGTCGGATGGCGAGCAGTAAAGTTGTTCTAAAGGATGCAGAGTGCAGAGATTGGTGAACAACACCAAATTGTCGCAGCTGAGCAGCACAGGTTGTCCAGAAAGAACAGATCGTTTCCGAGGACCAACTGCTGCCACCACCTCGTGCCCACATTGTGACAAAACTTTTCGAACATAGATCGGCCCGACCAGTCATCTACGCACTCACCCCCGACCCGAGGATGTCTAGATAGCCCTCGTCGCTTTGACCGGCAATCAATAACAACAAATTGTTTGCAACAACTCAACATGATTATGAGCACACGTAGGAAAAAAACTTGAACGACATATTATTTGTACCAAATTTCACATACCAATCAGTGCCAGACATGGTTTATGACAAAACCCCCCGCGAGGAAGCCGATCACTTGTGAAATGAGACGCCTAAGGAGAGTAGTGAATGAATAAGACCAGGAGAAACACGATTAGGACCGGAGTCACCAGAGACATGGTAGGAACCACACCAGTCCTACGTCACATCGGTCAGCAGAGGATAAAGTCGTTTAACCACCTCACGAGGATGTCTCCCGAACTACCGGCGATTCGATCTTACAACCCCAGATGTTTGGGCTGGAGAGCATGAAGAAAGAGGAAAACCAAGGTGACGCCGGGGCGACTCTGTGGCACACCCCCCAGAACACACAGCATCTCTCCTTTAGTCCACTCGTCTGGCTGGGGACAGATATCCAGTGTATCTCCCCACGACGCCGACTGGTATCAATGGAAAGGAACATATAATTACTAAACAAGTATGATATATGCAAATATTGGACTTTATATGGAAGAGAAAGACTTTCATTCAGTTTGAACTCCTCACCTGCTATTCCCCCCCCCCCCCAAACTTCCTATCTTCCTGCATCACAAGGTACATATACTGCCAGGCAACTGTTACCGTGGTAACCCAGTGTGTGCATTGTGCATGTACGTTGCAGCGGAGACAAAAATGTAGTCATCTCCGGCTGCAGTGAGAGTGGAAGAAGCGGGGAGAGAAAGGAGGGTAAACGAGCAAACGGTAGAATTATACCACCCCCCCCCCTCGTGAGTCCCACAGTGACACAACACCCCGCCCCCAACCCCCTAGTCCCATTTTTACTTATACCTCCACATCATCGAAACTTTCTTCTCACTTATCCGTCTCTCTAGAAGGGGAGACAACACTTTTTGAATCTTTCAAAAACAGAGTTATGTTTCTTTTAAACATCTTCATTAAATCCAACGATCTCCCACGAAATCACATTTCTACTGCTTCTATTTTGTTTTGACTACCTTTGGTAATTTTTCCGCTTTTACAGCAGTATAGATGTGACCACACAATATAGCCTGTCAGATTTCTTATTTTGGTTGTCACTGAGATGTTACTACTTTTAAAGGATTGGACTCTTATTTTTGAAACTATATATCTCGGTCAAACAGTGGAAGTACAGAGCTTCGATCCACCTCACTGACATGCAAGCACTGCGACAGAATCTGCGCTTCAAACATAGAAAGAATCAGCCATGAAAGAAGCTGCATGAAGACAACCTTGAGACTATTTTAAGCTAAATTGACAGTCTGCATAGACGAAAAGAGCTTTTTCTTAGTCAATGCACTTCTTCGTTTATTTTTGTGGTTCATTTGGCATCGGTTGTAATTGTTATTTTAACCATTGAACTTGTTCGGGCTTTTAACCTTTGCTATGGAAAAAAGGTCTACAGATATAATTGGATTGTTTATGTTTATATTAAAACACAATCCATTGTGTTTACTTTCCTACACAGCTGTAAAAAGTAAAGTTGTTCCCGTAACCGATCGGGACATTGGAGATTGCCTTGTTAGTGAGACAACTTCCTGGGCCTTCAGCATATTGTGGTAGGGTGGCCAGTTTATTTCGACGCGGCCTTTACTTCCCCAACTCGAAGTAAGGTACTCATTACTGCTGGGTGGGCAGGAGGGGGCGAAAAAAATCCGTGTCCGAATTGGGGCTCGAACCCGTACTTTCCGTTTCGAAGGCGAGCGCACTGACTGCTCCGCAACCGCACCCTCACAGCTATATTAGAAGAAATTAAATAAATCCCTTTTCTATTTTGAATCTGCAATTAAAACTGTGGAATTGGCATATACATCTATATCTTATTAAAATGTTATTACGTTCCGGTTCCACTTGGAGACCTTGTTTTTTTTCTACAATAAAATTAAAATGAATGTTAAAAAGGTACGTATTATACCAAGGTCAAGGACTACTATACTATAGTAGTATAGTAGTCCTTGACCAAGGTATATCAATGGCTCATTGATTTGTTTAAAATAAAATATTATTGAAATATTATTATTTTCTTGATGACAGTGATGGTAATGATGATCCCCCCCCCCCCCCCCCATTTCCCTTTGAAGCCACCCACAACCTCTTCCCCCCTTTGCACCATCCTCCGCACCACCCTGCATTGTTGCCGCTACCTAGTGAACGTGACGTCACATGTTCTTGTAGGAAAGCTAACATGGCGGTGGTGTAGATCGCCGGTGGCGAGTTGTTGTCCGGGAAAGATCTGTGAGCTCGAACGTTTGCACGTGCCTTTGTCAGTCTCATGACGTCACTAGCTGACCGCAACACGCAGCGTGAGACGAGAGGGCAAAGGTCAGCGCGTGAGCAAAGGTCAAGGTTGTCCACATATACAGCTAGATTCTAGATCTGGATGTCAAATTATGTCAGCATTGCAGACGCAGTCAGATTCCGCTGGGAAAATCTGTTTTTTTCAAGTGTTAGGGGAATAATAAATAGTAAGGATGTTTACATACCAACATTTTGTGTGTGTGTGTGTTCGTGTGTGTGTGTGTGTGTGTGTGTGTGTGTGTGTGTGTGTGTGTATGTTGAGTATGTATGTATGTATGTATGTATGTATGTATGTATGTATGTATGTATGTATGTATGTGTATGTATGTATGTATGTATGTATGTATGTATGTATGTATGTATGTATGTATGTGTGTGTGTGGGTGTGTATGTATGTATGTGTGTGTTTGAGTGTGTATGTGTGTGTGTGTATGTATGTGTGTGTGTGTGTGTGTATGTGTGTGTGTGTGTGTGTGTGTGTGTGTGTGTGTGTGTGTGTGTGTGTGTTTGTTTTGTATGTGTCAGTGTTTCTGAGTATGTAGATCTAGATCTATGTGCAATCTTGAGTTTCATTCAACATACAATGATACATGTTGGCGTTGGTAAGAACAGCAGTTTCGCGCCAGGAGGTTATATATATATACATGTATTAAGGACTTTTTTTTCGATAAACCTCAACATATTTTACCCTCTGCGCGCCAGTCATTCTCAAGTCACGGGTCTTCACTTCTGATCGACTAAAGTTTGTCTGTAGTTCTTTCCCTTCCTTTATAGATCTAGAACTAAAATGGATAAATAATAATATGTTAGTTTTATCAAGAATGTGTAGAGGTCTCATCCAACATATATTTAACAACTTAACGAATATTAACAAGCCTTACATTACGTTTACCCTAAAACTAAAGTTACTCCAGTTTATTCAGTAAATGGATGAAGAACAGAATTCTTAAAGTGTTTTTCAAAACTGGAAAAAAGAATATGTCGCGTTTTTTCGAGGTACTGTTCATAGAATTAAGTGAAATATAAAAGCAGAATAGCGGTCTGACAATGACAATTTAAGCCCTCTTAACTCGTGTGTGAAAATCAATATTATCCACCCTGTACCCCCCCTCCTCCCCAAAAAAGTTTAAAAACAAAATCCCTGTCTACAGTATGTTCATCAATCAATACACCATTATATTACTTTGTATCTCTGTAGAATAACCTTTTTCACCAAACACAAAACTAACCTTTCCTTGACTCATGAATATTCCACCCAGTCACCCCTCCCCCACCCCTCCCTCTAACCCGGTCTCCTGTTTGAGTCTGGAAATCCCAACCTGTGACATCATCAGCAGCAACAACCCGGAGTCAGCAACATCTTCACCACCGCCGGCGACAGCCACAGCAACGACTTTCAGTTCAGCCTGCACCGCCAGTGACCACATCATCTACACAGAGGGTTGTGTACAGAGTTAGGGAAATCCCCACATACAGACCACGCCCATCTGCGTCCTCTGACATCACGAACAGTATCCCACCCCCTCCCTGCCCACTCCAAAGACACCCCTAATCTCTATGAGCAGCTAATTCTGTGTCAAAAAGACACAAAGAGCTGTACTCTAGAGGAACCCTCTCCCCCCACCCACCTTCTGTTCTTCCCAATCCCTCCCACGTAACTTCCGTCACTCCACCCCTCCCTTTCCAATTGCTTCTCCTAGTTTCCCACCTCCCTCTTCGTATACCTCCCATTACCCCGTATCACTCCTCTATCCTCCTCTCGTCAGTCCTCTCAGCACTCCGCCTCTCAATCTTCCCCCTATCACCCTCTTGGCAACGCCCCCCCCCAGTCAGCCCCTCCCCCCTAAAAAATCAGCCTTCTTTACCATTACCCCCTCCCCTAGTCACCCTCCCGCCACCCTCCCATCCCCCGTCCCCCCACCTAACCGTCACTCTCAGCTTCCCCTGTGTGAGTAGGCCTACACCTACATGTTAAGGGCGTGAACTCTCCCCTAGACCATCCATGAACTGTCCTCCGCCACCTGACCCCTACAACCGTTATCTTGGGCAAACTGTGAAGAGGTTTGAGAACCCGTAGCACTTCAAACCCGCCTCTAGATCTACTCTCTCTGCAACTCTAGTTTCTACTCCCCTTCTCTCTCTCCCTGTCTCTCTCTCTCTCTCTCTGTCTCCCCCCTCTCTCTCTTTCTCTCTCTCTCTCTTTCTCTCTCCCTCCCTCTCTCTCTCTCTCTCTCTCTCTCTCTCTCTCTCTCTCTCTCTGTCTGTCTTTCTCCCCCTTTCTCTCCCCCCACCCCGTGTCTCTAGGACCCTCTCCCCTTGTTCCCTCGTTTACACTCTGTGGATCTACTCCAATCTCGGGTCCCACAATGAACAAGGGTTTTGGTTTCAAGAGAAATCGATCCCATGACGCTTGGAACCAACTCCAGCCTTCTCCCACCATGAGGTAAGATCTGTTCCCCCCACCCCCATCTCTCTCTCTCTCTCTCTCTCTCTCTCTCTCTCTCTCTCTCTCTCTGTATTTCTGCCTCAGTCTCTGTCTCTTTGTCACTCGGTCTCTCTATCTCCCCCTGTCTCTCTCTCTCTCTCTGTCTCTCGCTTTCCCTCTCTCCCTCTCTGCCCCTGTCTGTTGCTATCGACTGTCAGTCTGACATTTTCTTAGTACGGAATAGCAGTTATTGTGTCAAAATGCTTCGCTTTAACTCTCACGCCCTGACTGAGTCCAGCCAATAATAGACATCCAGAACACGCCATCCAGTCCAGCCAAAGGACAGCCAGAACTAGAACCCGCCGAGTCCAGCTTTTTACAGATGTATACAGAAGAGTCCAAATTTTCCAAACTCAACAGAGGTTGTCAAAATTTTTTAAAGGGTGAATAAAGAAATAACTAAGTCAAATAATGTTTGGGTTACAGACAAATTATGTCGAGCTTGACAAGAGTTGAACCAGTGTCTGTGGTGAAGTGGATAGGCTCTTGGCCTTTGCATGCAGAGAACGTCGATTCCCGATTATGGAAGATATTGTGTTCTTTTGAGATAATGTTGTATACCACCGAGCCCGACCGGACCGTGACAGGAAGGGTTGAAACAGCCCGCCTCCTATATGATCTATATTATGCCGACCGGGGTGTAAAAAGTTTACAATTATTGCAATTCAAAAAATTCTGCGTTTTCTTTGTTCTCTGTCTACCTTGCATCACTCGAACCGGTGGTCACTTCAAACAATTGTCATTTATTTCGTTCTCTGTCTCTTTGGTTTGCAGCTGGTGAGTACTCTGGTGTAGCTTCCTCCTTTTTTCCTATCAAACATATATCGTCCTTACTTCTCCTCATTATTTTCTTTGTATGTTACTATCTAAGAAACAACTGTAACCTACGTCATTTATATGGCATATTTGTGTTGCAAGTGCTGTAAAACTCTTGGCCTCTACTGCATTACGACAATCTTGTCCAGGGATATGACTGCCATGTCCCACAGTCGAATTTTTCGTTTCAAAACAGATACCGCTCCAGGACAGGGCTGTTCCGGCCCTTAAGGCTGCTTCTTTGATGTTGCCCAAGACGAATTAAAAAATTAATTCAAAAAATTTCTTAACCCTATCCGTATGCCTCGGGGTAATTTTGTATCCCCCGGGGTTGTACTCTTCACGTTTTAGAATACATGTACTTCTAGTACGAAAATCTCTTTCAAACTTACAGTATTTCTCCAAAAACCATTTTGGCAGACTACTATGCAAAGCGTACGGATCGGATTAACGAGTAAATTTCCTCTTTGGAAAGTGGTGGCACCGGGTTCCCCACGTCGTACATAAGATAAGATAAGATAAGATACATCTTTATTGTCCAGATCCTGGCACATTGGTACATATACGATAATAAAACACGACGTAAGGATAGAGCTAAATATTGGCCAAATCAAAAAACAAACAAACCAATTTTCTTGATTAGCAACTCAAGCTCAGCAATAACGCGTGGGAAACGCAGTTTAATGCCCGGTTACCATGTTGAATTATTTTTTGAGTGTTTTTTCCGTCACTATTTGACTTTGGCGCGCACTCGGCCTTGTTTGCCTCTACAAGATGGATGGCATCGAGTTTTTTTCGGCCACTACAGAATGAGCAACGGAAGTTTTGACAACCGTCTAGATCTACATTTGAGAAGATACGATTGTTTCACATACTTCTGTCCATGCCTTGGCTTTCACGTGTCGATTACAATAGTCTACATCTGTCTTGTTGGACAAACATGGTTTACTTTCCACTGCGCAATTAAAGTTTTCTGTCCAATTTGGATAAACATCCATTCTGATGAGAATTCTAACACGTGACAATAGACTGTGTACTTTAAAAACAACCGAGCAACTGCAGGTGAGAGAAAAAAGTTTAGAATCGAGATACAGAAAATAAGGTTAACACAACAGTGCAGGCGCCACTATCTTGACAGCAAGCGCCACCTAGTCTGAGACAGTTTTGTCCTTCTGCGCTAGGCGGCTATATTTCTCTGTAATCACCGACAATACTATCCCTGGATTGGGATAGTCCTCCTGTCCCACCGATGTTGCAGCAATTCACAACTGCTCGGGACTCAATGCGACAAAAATGTCGTGTTCCAATAGGTGCGGTACATTAGACTTTAGTTCAAAAGGTTTCAAACTCCAGACGGGTCTGTCCCGGGACAAACTGTCGAAGTGCGGTAGAGGCTTTACTAAATCTAAACTATCACTGCTCCGTTAGTAATATCACCTTGACCACCTCAGGAGGAAGTCCCTACCACGTGACGTAGAGTACGGCACTTTCCGGCCCACCTACAAGTCTGAGTTCCCCCTCAACGTACGTCAATCGCACACATACGCACACACACACACACACACACACATACACACACACAAACACACACATAATACACACACACAAACACATACATACTCATACACACAATATGTACATATATACACGCACACAAACAAATACATACTGACACACATACACACACACACA